ATTGGTACCATCCTTTATCAATAGTCCAACATTTACTTCTCATTGATGGTGCACATTTAATACCCTAATATTGGGCTGGATTTGTTGAAGATGTGCCCATTAAGAGGAACTAAAAGCTGCTGAATTGTCTCTTTGCAGCTCAGCGGAGAAGGTGAACTTGTTCTCACTGGTGCCTCTAGAGGCCGCTGGCCGTGTTGCAGCTCGGGGTGCAGAGCGCCAAATCGCACCCGCTGGCAGGGAGGCACCTCACCCCCACAACCACCTCCTCCTCCTCCTCACCTCCTTCCTTCAGACAGGAGGGAGGAGGTCAAAGGAGGGAACAGTGAGGCAGCATCAGAGGACTAAACATAAAACAAAATGAAATATCTACAACACAATAAATTCTAAATGGACATGACGTACTGGAGGTCCGACAGGAGAGAAGTATGCAGAACATCGAGGGTGAGACTCACGTTGAGCTGCCATTCACCACCTGATTTCACACGATGGAGCAGAGTCCCGTCACATAACTACGTCCAGAGAAACGTTTGTCCTTCTGAAGAGGGAGGGAATGATGGGAGGCCCCCTTCTCCCCTCTATGTCCCTCCCTCCAGGTATTAAGGAATAAAGGTTCCAGATTCCTGGATTTCTATGGTAGGTCCAAGATGCAAGCTGCCCACACAAAAGGCTCTGACAATGTGAGAGCTTCTCGTAAACGCAGCGCTGCTTCTCCCCACAGGGAAGCTGGGGGGGTCAAACAGCCAGGAGGCCGCAGTATGTTCAATTAAGGTCAACATGCACGCTCTTTCTTTCCTCCCAGCTGTTGTGCTACATTATTGGTTTTAGACAAACTACATAGTTTTGTCATTGTGTTGCACGCGTTAACCAAGTGGAAATTTAAAACATACAAAAAGGAGGTGGGATTGACTTGGAAAGTGAACTGAGGAGGACCGACCTGTTTGTTGGAGCGGTCTGCGATGCTGCAGACCAGCGGCGGGATCGAGCCTTCTTTAGTTTTCCCGACATCAGTGCGGAAATGTTCACTAGCAGGCAGGCAGCTGAGGAACGGACACATGAGAGTAACACGTGGACGTGGACTCTTCTTCTTCTTCTGTGGCGTTCGGACCAGAATGAGGGGTTCTTACCTGGCGGGCAGCTTGTAGATGTAACTGCAGCCGTCTTCGGTCCACACGATGACTTTGTCCGCGGCGATGAACTCCCCTCCGGTCCAGGCCTGGTCGTTGTCGCTGGACACCGAGCAGAGCAACGAGTAGTCGCCCGCATCAAATACCTGACACACACACACACACACAGAGGAAACAGACGTTCTTTAGTCATCTAGTAAATACCAAGTTCTGGAAATAATCTAGTCCAGAACTTGGTGCGTAGGGTAACTTATTGGTACTGCGAGTTCTTACCCTCCAGTACTTGGAGCAGACCACCAGCAGGCTGCTCTGGGTGAAGCTACAGAAGGAGATGCTCTGACAGCCTTGGCAGTACACGGGTTTGGACTCTTCTTCAAACACAGGGTCCATGTCCTGAAACACACACGCACAATTTAAGCTTCAGCTGCTCAATATTTATGATTAAAACGATATATCAGCCATTTATTTTAAATATATGTATTTGAATAATATTGAACCCTTTTTTAGGCGGTACACGCAGGTGTGAATTATCAAACATCTGTATGGCCGTGTACCTGCATCCGGCTGACCTCGGCTGTGATGATCCACACCTTCAGAATACCCGTCACCGACACCGCCACCACGGTGTCCTCTACAGGGAGACAGAGGCCACGTTAGTGTCCCACACAGCCGACAGCATCAGTAGGTCAGCTGCCTCTCTTCAGCTCCCCAACAGCGTGTCACCAACTCACGACATTACGCTGACAGCGAACGCCACAAAGCAACCAACGCAGTGCTAGCTGGCTAACTTTAGTGCTTCTCGTTCAAAAGAAAACTGTTGTGTACTTGTGTTTAGTGGCAACGTCCAAACAAGCAAGACATTTGTGTAAGTTAAAGGCTCACACATAATATTTAATATATCTCTGTGTGTTAAAGTGTAACGAACAGATTCAAACACACAAGGAGATTTTCACTTCATTTGACCACGATGACCATCAACTGTGGGTGGATATCCATAGAAAACCAAGACCTTTCTCCTTTAACATCATTACCAAGCACATTATGGAGGAAACACCCTGTGAGAAAGGGTTCCCGTCCGTCTCCAGCAGCGCCTCCCACCTTGTGTTCGGTGGGATCGGATGATGCTCATGGAGCTGATCCAATCCGGAGAGATCTTGGACACCAGCGAGTATAGCACCTCCAGGCTGGTGGCGTCCACCACAAGGATTTCTGGGTAGTGGCCGTTGCAAAGTAGACGTCCCTCCTTCTCAGTGCCGACGGTGAACTGATAGAACTGGAGAACCGCAGAGGGGCGAAGAAGGAGAAGGGAGAAACCACAAAAGGGTGAGGAGAGATGGAAACAGGAGCAGGATCGACCAAAATCTCATCAACAGCCGCCATTAAAACAGGTGGATTTATTCATGAATTCAGGGTCCATGCGAGGAGGTCTTACCTCTATGCCGACGTGAGCGCAGGCCAGCTTGGTGAACTCAATACAGCGTCCGTCATTAACGTCCCATAAACACATCTCTCTGGAAACACGAACGCACTTCAGTTAGACAGCTGTTATTGTTTTGTGGAAGCGGGTTGGCGTACAGAGCGTATCTAAAAACAATTCGTTTAGGCTGCTTGACAAAGACTCCTTGCTACCCAGAACACAAACAGTGCACTTACCCACTCTCTGACGCGCTGACAATGTACTGCTTGTCGCTGCATGCGCTGGCCTTCGACAGGCAGGTGATGGCGGCAGTGTGGCCGAACAGCATGGCCCTGGGGCAAATCTGGGCAGAGAACCACACGTTACAAACACAAAGACCACCACGAACCACTGGTGGCTCACGTGTGCGTGCACGTGTCTGTTTGTGCACATCGGGACGGAACTCCACCGTGCGCAGAGATAAGTGTTTCCCTACCATTGGTGGCAGGGGAAACACGGGAGGTGATGGTCTACTTATTGAGGACACTGCTGTACAACGTTAGCCTACTGTACACAAATAAACTTGTTACATGCTCTTGCAGAAAAAGGACAAAATTCCCCAAATTCCCGAGCTTAGCTTCCCTTGGAAAGCTTCCAGAAATTTACCAGAAACTTTCTGGCCCTTTGCAACCCTACTAATTATCCTCCTCCTCCTCCTCCTCATCGGTACCTCCAGCTCAGGGGTCATGTCCCAGAGGCAGATCTGTCCGTCGTGGCAGCCGGTGATGATGGTGTTGAAGTCGTCCATCACCAGCAGGCTGCTGATGCAGTGGGTGGGTGCCGTGCGGCCCCACAGCACTATGGGCAGAACCAAGTTGTTCCCTGACATGATGCAGCTGTGTCTGTGTGCAGGACCGTTACAGACAAGAGACACAGAGGGACACAAATTAAAATGATGATCAACAGATTTGAAGACTGGCAGTAGAGATGCTATTTAAAAGATAAAAAAGGAATAATAATAACCCAGATAATGAAAATACCCACTTGATCCCAACTTGATAGTTTTACGTTTTAAAACGCAGTGTTTGAATGCATCACTGTTGTTAAATACAAATCATTTTTTATGTGCACTATTTCTGTACAAGTGACAGAACCGTCTGATCACAAATATCCCCTGTGCTAAACAAGCAGCATGCTAACATGCTAACGAATAGACCGTAACGACACGGTGACATTAGCGATGCTCCCCGTGGACGCGATGCTTGAGGCGGGTGACGTCGGTACAACGAGGCGGTAACAGTGGTCACCGCTGCGGACACTCACTGAACACGACACCGTCCCCGGGTCACGAGTCACGGGGCGTCCCCGTCCAAACGTCAACAGCTGCTGTATTCGCAATGCATCTGAATAATTAACCGTGGCGCTTGATCCAGATGTGCAGGCGGTGCATCAACGTCAAGAGGGTAACTTTAAAAATGGACACCATTCCATTCAACGTCAGACGCAGTTGACAACCGGAAGAAAGTCGCAAGGAAAGACTTTAGCGGACATTTTAACGAGACATGTGAGCGGCGCGGATTACCGGACTTCAGGCGTGAAGCGATCTATGCGGCGCTGAAGCTAAACGCACCTACAATGTCGCTGCTTCCGGGTTAGCGACCCGGCAAACGGAACACGACACAGCGGTGGAGACGGTACGGACGCACCACAGGGTCCTACTGGGACATGTCCTTCCGAAGGAAAGCGTGACCGTCACCCCGCAGCAAGCACAAACGGGACGTGTCCTCGGCTTAGCTACTTTTCGTCCCTTTGACCAACCGATTTGTTCGGTCACCTGACAACTAAGGGCCACATCCGGTCACACGGTTTCAAAATAAATCCCCGCGCATACGTGGGTATGAGATGGATGGATGGATTCTACATCTACATGTATTCTACAAGTATGGGGGGCTGTTGCAATCATTAGACGGTAAAACAATACATTAATTGACCACGTGGTTCACAATGAACACTAACACAGACAGATAGAAGAGGTAGAGGTTCCAAAAAATAAACGCAAACACTAGGACCAAATCCTCCTATTACAGTCCCTCATTTCCACACCTATTTTTCTACTCAACCGATATTAATCCTAACTGCTAAACTTTGTTTGTTGACAAACAAGACGGATATAATAATATAAATAAAAACATTGTTCTCATAAGTATAGCCATTGTTAATACTTAATTAACAATTATTAGATGGATTAACTCTACAATGCATTGGTTTTATTTTGAAGTGTTTTAAATTCTTGCTTGATTCATGTTCTGGCTTCAAAATAAAAGCTCACGGGAGTACATTTCTCAGGTTGATTTGAATTGAATTGAAATTGAAAGTTGCCATATTTATTTTTTTGTGTTGTTATATCGTATCATGTATGTCAAGTAATCCTAAAAATAAAATGTTATGTAATAAAAAGACCGACCGGAAGTGTCGTTGTTTTAGTTCCCAGATGCCGCCAAGTAAAGCTGTCAGTTTCCGGTTGGGAGTGTGCACGTGTTCGACGATACACTGAAGATTTTGGATCGTTCCACCAGAACCATTCGCGGTTCTTACCATACTGTTTAGCCTGATCCACTAATACTGCGTGTCGTCCGAGGCGGTGGACGCGTGTCGCGGTGACCGGAAGAGGACACACGTCTTCGCCCATGCTAGCCAGCAGAGCAGCTAGCGTTAGCCGAGCAACGCGTTCAGACCCGGCGAGGGAAAGAATCACGACACGCAACATCTTTTGGGAGCCGGACAATGATGTAACGCCTTAGAATGGCAAAGGAAACGGATTCCCGGTTCCCACGGCAGCTTTTCCCGTCGCATTACACGGAGGAGCCGCCGGACTTGGTGCTGAAACACTGCGCAGGTAACTGGGGCAGTTATGAGCGAGTCCTCCCTCAGGTGGGTCAGCTGTCTCTCTGCTTCGGAAATGCATGTGATTAATAACAGCACGGTTCTGTTGGGACAATGTTGATATGTAAACTGTCTGTCTATAAATGATGACTTTGCAGTAGTGATTTGTGATCCTGTCTGACTGTAGGAAACCAAACTGCGTCGTATGAAATCATAATGAACACTGCGGTCAACGCAGCAGGCGCTTGGATTTTAGTGTTTTTGAATTTGCAACAATATGACTTTTACTTTGAAGAAATCTCCTAATCTGTAGAGTAAAAACACGTCATTTTCAGCCTGCTAGTTTTTTCTTACAACAGTAGTCATGTCCTTAGAGATGTCCTTAACACATGTATGTTAGTCTTTGACTGGAATTATTGAGCAAAGTCTTTTTATTGCATTTCAAGCTTTGAGAAATGTTCATTTTTGAAATCTAGGATCCAACTTTGTACAGTAAAAGTGTTCCTTTGTACAACAGTAGTCAGAATGGTGCTGAACACACACTTCAGCCTTGTGTTCCGGTTACTTGGTTGGACAGTGAGCTTTATTCTAGTAGCCCGGCATCGAGTGAGGGATGAGACCTTTTAATGACTTATTAATATCAAACCAAGCCTGTTTCTATGCGGTACGATGAGCCGTGGAGCCCTGATGTGTGTGTGTGTGTGTGTGTGTGTGTGTGTGTGTGTGTGTGTGTCTGCAGGGCAGCTCGGGTCCTCTGTCCAGCTGGACGTTTACACCCAGACATCAGGCCAAAGGGGACACATGGCGTCTCACGGAGCCGGTACCAGTTCCCCTTCTGTCCCCTAAACACCGTGAGTCCCTAACAGTCTGTTTGCTGCCCTCACTGAGGCCGTCCAGGTCTTTCTATGTTCATCAAGTTCTCTTTGAGTTTTATTTGTTCACATTCTTTCGCAGGTTTTCTTTTGCCTTTGAAGCCTCCAAATCCACTGGACTTCACAGAACACGTGAGTCCACCAGTTATGACTTAACAAGCCCGTGGATCTGACAGTAGATATATATATATATATATATATATATATATATACACACACTTGAAAGCATGTATTGAAATGGACATTCAAAAAACAAGCAAAATGGAAATTGTCCTTCACAATTCAGCCAATAACTTAATACATTTAATAAAGATTCAGCCATAGACTCACATTCATATTTGACATAATATGAGCTTTTCATCATCGCTTTGCATTCTCTTTTTTGTATTTTGAGGCTATAAAGATGATTTTGTATTTAGATGAAGAACTACTTCTTGGACCACTGCCAGGACGCCTTCGGGTTCATGGGGGAAATTCTGAGCGAGAACTTCATCCAACCACCACGTGAGGTGCGACTCAACGGCGTTCATTTCAAGTATTTGCTGTTTAAGTCCAGAGATGATGATGATACATTGTCGGGGCTCTGCTTGCTCTCTGGTTTTACACTATAAAGTATAAAGAGATGATAACAGTTCTATAATAATAACAAGGTACACATTATTCTGTTGCCGTTGGCGTTTTTCCTGCAGAAATACAGCAGGAAGTCGGTCTACGAAGTGAGAAGCGCCCTCGACGTGAAGAGAATCACAATGTGAGCGGAAACTCCATTTCGAGGCGACCGTCTGCAGTTGTCTGGTGGGGGTTTAACTTTAGCGCGTTGTCTCCTGTCCAGGTGTCCGCGCTCCTCCAGCTTCAAGTCCCTGGACGCACATGGCGCCCTGCTGTACGACGTGGTGTCCGCCGTGCCCGCCGAGCTGCTGGGCTCGCTGCTGCACGAGGAGCTGAAGGAGCAGCGGGACCGCGCGCTCTTCTCCGAGGGGGCCACGGGGGGCGCCCTGGCCTTCGTTCCCTTCCCGCAGGGCGGCAGCGAGCCCCGGAGCGGCTGCCTCCTCTACCCGGGCGGCCCGGGCCTGCAGCGCCTCAGTATCCTGCCGACCAGACGTGGTGCTCAGTTTAGTTCCTTCTGCCTCCTCTGGTTCTTAACGCGCGCTCCTCAGACTTCCACAGGGTGGCGCTGCAGGACGGCAGTGGGGGTTCCTCCCGTGTGGACGCCAGCGGCAGCGAGCCCTTCTGCTTCCAGCTGAAGGGCCCCGTCCGGCAGATCAGCTGCGCCTCCCAGTTCAGCGACTGTAAGAACCAGAGCGTTGGAAGAGCCGCTGGCCGCGAAGGGGGGGGACGTCTCAACCGCTTTCTGTCTCCTGTCGGCAGGTTGCGTCGCCGTGCGCTCCGATCGCCTGTGTGGAGTCTGGAGGTTCGGTGAGCAGGACGTGCCTCGCCTTCTGCAGGTCGTCACCCCCAGAGAGGTCAGGCCTGAAAAAAGCAACAGCCAAGTGGGGGGGTACGGAGGGGGGTTCCACCCAGATGCCCGGGGGGGGGGGGGGGACACTGGCGCTCATGTAATGTCCTGTCAGTCCGCACGTCTTAGGTGAGGTCCTGGTGGCGAGGGAGAGCGGGGCGGTGGACCTCTGGAGCGTGGGCAGAGGGTGAGGAGGCCGATCGCCGGTTCTTCACACGGCTAATCGGACACGTTAAAGTGACAGAGGACTTCATTTCCAATCAGGATGCAGAAGGTCCGGGACGAGGACAGTAACCTGTACTTCAACGCCAAGTCGTTGTGGCGATGGAGCGAGTTCTCCGCCCACCCAAGGGTGATGGTGTACGCGGACAGGACGGGAGCGGACATGAGCGACATCCGGGTGAGAGACTGTCTGTATGCTCCCACAGTAGTACATTTTTAAGACCGTTTCCATGGCCTCTATAGACGGAACAGCCGCCTGAGTTATTCCTAGTTCCCTGTTCAGGACTTGTCTGTGTCTCTCAACAAATAACACGCGTGGTTGTTTTTAACCGAGGGGCGATGTTGCTTTTCCTTCGGCGTCCCCCCAGGAGAGTCCGGCCTCAAGTCACACGCTGTTTCGTATCAGCAACACCTCAGAGTGTCGCAGCGGGGAGAGGGTGGTACTGTCCACCTACCTGGGAGACGTCCACACCTTCCAGCACCTCGTCACAACTCAGGTAGACCCTGAGCCCACACGGGGCTCATGTATCACTGCTAGAGATACTCACGTCTCCAAAGACTCTGCTGGATTTGCATCCAAAGTTGAGGGCTCGATGCAGCTGCAGTCGCCGCTTGTTACCACCAGATGTCAGGCTCCCAAGGGCCGTGTTTAGGGTTGAACTCTGCAGGAGGACAGCAAACATGTTCCATAGTTGATATAATGAAAGAATCTAAATGCGTTAGCATGGTTGTGTCGCGGCGCTGCTCCTAAAGGGAGCTCGCAGGCTCATGTCAGCATGTCCCCCCCCCCCCAGTGCTCAGCCTACATCATAGACGAGCGGTTCCCCTGCATTCCCGTGCTCAAGTGGGACCACATGATGACGTCTCCGCCCATGTTCTGTCACGTACTTTGTGATCCCGCCTCCTCCGGCTCGGCAGTGGGCGGAGCCACCAAGGTGCTGCTGGGCTCCCAGAAATCTCAGGAAATCACACTGCTGCAGTTCTCTGGTTGGTCTGCTCGACAGGTTTGTGTTAAATGTCCGTGGTGTTTCAGTGTGCTGTTCTCAACGTGTGCGTGTGTGTGTGTGTTCAGGAGGCAGAGCGACGGCCACCTTTAGTCGAGGTCCTCCTCAGGCGCTCCTCCGACCCGGAGACAGTCTGAAACACCTTCCTGTCCAGATCCCTCACCGCCTGGACCTCACCAGCAGCAGGTTGTCTGCCCCTGCAGCAGGTACATGTGTGTTTAGGACCAGTCGCCGCTCTGCTCCGGAAAACAAACCCTGGTGGGGTCAACCTTGGATGACCTCGCCGGCTGTGCTAACCGCTGCCTTTTATTACACTGCTGCTGACAAGTGGAGGGAGCAGCAGCAGCAGCAGTGTTATCGAGAGATTGAGTGAAGCCTGCAGCCTTTAAGTTAGAAAAATGCCTCTTTACTTCCTGTTTACACCTTCATGTGTGCGCACAAGATCACAACCTGCTGCTGTTTTTTGAGGCTCTCAGATTTCAGAGTTTAAAGATTAATTTCAAGTTCACGACTACGACCAAACCTACTTGTAGTAACAGTAGTTTTTGTAGTGTTGAGATAATGTGACTGATTTTCCTTTTTAGGTCTGACTTGTATCCAGATGGGGGGGACGGAGGCCGGTGGGGTCGAGTCCATCTGTATCCTCCAGCTGACGGAGGCGGGGGACATCTTCTACCAGAACCTGGAGTCACAGCCGATGGAGGCCTCTCCACCTCCGGCAGCCGAACCGTCTCCACGACCCGCTCAAACAGCAGCCGCAACTTCAGGGGGGGCGCCGGCGACGTTGAGCGACGAGGACGTGATTGGACCAACTCCGACCGTGCAAAGGTCAGGGGTCAAAACACTGGAGGGGGAGCAGGACGTGCACTCTGACTCCTCCCAGGACTCAGAGACCCGGCAGAGGGGTCGCTTCAGTGCTTACTCTGGTCTGAAGGTCATGGTCAACACCGACCCCGAGCTGGATCAGGGAAGCGGCTCGGACACGGGGGACAAAGACCTGGACGCGGAGGAGACCGGCGGCGCGGAGGAGACCGGCGGCGCGGAGGAGACCGGCGGCGGGGGCCCGGGCGGTGCCGGGCGGCGGCCTCCGCCAAAGCTCAGCGACGGCGCGCTCGTCACGTGGAAACGGTGGCTCCAGAAGTTGGTGCAGAGGAATCGCAAGAAGGAACCCCCCCGTCGGCGCGGCCGGCAGCAACGGGCCGTCCCGGTCAAGGACCTCCTCCGGTCGGGCGGGGCGGCGAGGGATCCCGCGGAAGAGGCGCGGGTGCAGAGCCTGCGGCGCGACCTGAGCGCGTGCATGGCCCAGCGGGCCCTGCTGCTGCACGGTGCGGTCTCCGCCCCCCTGCAGGCGCCGGACCCGGTGGCGGTGCCTTGCGCGGTGCAAAGGGACGGCTGGCTGGACGCCGTCAGCCAGCGTCTGACGGCGTCCTGGGAGGGCGAGGAGGCGTGGCTGGCGTGGTGGAGGGAGCAGCTGGGGCTGAACAGGGAGGACAAGGTGAAGGCGCTGAGGAGAAAGAGGAGGAGGGAGAAGGACCGGAGGAGAGCTGCGGGCCGGCGCATGGATCTGTCCAGCAGCTTCACCTCCTCCGTCAGCTACCAGTCGGAGCTGAGCGACTTCTCGGACTGGTCGGGCTGGTCCTCCGGCTTGAGCCAGGGCGCGTTTTCAGACAGCGAGGAGGGACTGCCCCCGGCAGGCAGCTCTCTGGAGGGCGGGACTCCGAGAGCCACGACCCCCACCACACCGCCCGCCACACCAACCTGCACGCCGGTTGCCACGCCGACCGCCACACCAGGTGACCAGCAGGCTACCAGTAACGCCCCGACCCGGACGCCAAGGCGGGAACCCACACCGGCCAATCAGAGGCGAGCGAAGCGCCCAGCGGACGACTACCTCCGCGCTCTGTTCGCCGCTCAGGTGAGCGTGTTCCTTCTGTAGTTCCAGCTGTGTGCGTTGTGGTTGTGTGTAGCTAAATATGTGTGATTGCTCCCCGGCGCGTTTCTAGGACGAGGTCCCGCAGCACGACGGTTACTTGCAGGAAGGGGCGAGCGCCGCGCAGAGCTCGGCACTGCCGCCGCGCGGGGCCCCGTCCGCCGACCTGAGCCACCGCTGGCCGGACCCGTCGCAGGAGCCCGCCCTCTCTCAGCCCCGGCCCGTCTCCCAGAGTGCAAGAGGTCGCCCGGGGTCGTCACAGCCGTCGCAGCGTAAGAAGTCTCGAATGGGATTTTGATCGACTGCCTCCAGACTCAAAGGAGCGCTTAGCTGTGATCGCCGCTTCCTGTGGCGCGGATATAACACGGCGCTCCTGCAGACTGGATCTAACGGGGAGAAGACTGACTGCAGACCAGTTTGGTAGGACTGAAGACTTATTTCTGTGTGTGCGCATGTGTTGTAATGATGCCGGTGTCACTGGCTAATGAACAGCTGATCTCTGGACAGAAGAGTTCAAATGGTGGTTGTAGTTAAAGTAGTAGGAAACCTCTTCAAACCGGTTCTTCCCGGCGTATGTTGTGGTTTTATTTCACTACTCTCTTGATGTGATGTTGAGTTTCTCAGAAGTTTCTCAGTCTGTTTGCTGTAATGAACGAGAGAAACCTAAAAGCTTTACAGTTCTTCTTCCAGCCTCTGGTTACTGTGACTCATCTTAGAGAAGAATATTGGTGAGATCTAAACAGAATGACCCCCATGTTTGTTCATATACAAACCAGTGTCTTATTTTGTCAGATGCTGGAGGACAGAGGTTGTTAATTATTCATGTTCACTTGTCATATAGTTGCATTTGTGTGAAGACAAAGATCTCAGCAGCTTGTTGTGAAACAGACACCGATTAAAAAATACAATTTTTATAAGATTTTTGACTTTTCAGTAAATGTGACAAATAACTTAATATCTACAAACTATTAACATTTTTTTTTTTTTACATCATTTACAATTTTACAGATTTTTGTATTGAAATTTCAGACTTTTTTTTCCCCATTCTGTGATTTAAAACCGCTACATCCTAAAATATTCACTTTAAATAGAAACACACGTCCACAAACATACAGCCTTTCCCTCTGAGCAAGGCACGTCTCCTGACTGAACAACGAGCCCATCTAAGAAAAACACTGCAATGAAACCCTGACGACACTCACTCCACTTCCTCTTGTGCACCAAATAACTTAATATCTACATTCACCGTGACAGAAAGCCGCCTTTCTATTAAATAAATACAACGTTTTGGCAAACAGTGAACCGTTTGGGGTCTGCACACAAACCACCAGCGCCACAGCTTATTAATGAATCCATTAAAGACTCCAGGTGAAGCAGTGAGGGGGAGACTGGCAGGGGAGGTGACGGGGGGTGTCACACATGGCGGCGGAGGTGCAGAGGGAAGAAGGGCCCGTCAGCGTCGTTGCCCAGAGAACTGCTGAGGGACTCCTCGCCGGAGCTCATCATGTCCTCACTGCAGAGACACACGGGGGGGGGGTCGGTTAATTCACTCACATGCTACACACACACACAAGCTGAGGTCTTCTGTGGTTCCAGCTCCTCGCAGTGGAGTTCAAAACTTCACACGCTCGCACTTCAGGAAGAAGGTGGTCAACTGGTTTAAATCTTCTGTCATGTCAGTCAGTCTTTGATCTGTGTGTGTGTGTGTGTGTGTGTGTGTGTGTGTGTGTGTATACACCCAAAGGCCACGCCCTCTGCTGACATCATGGAAACGTCTGTCAGCGGGACATGCACACGTCCCATCATGCACTGCAAGGAGATATGAGAGGTCCTGACACGGTGTGTGTGTGTGTGTGTGCACTTCTAGCAGAAGGGGCCCTTAGTTTAAAAAATAAAACAAATTGGAATGTCCAAGCTGACAAATGGCACAGACATTACCAGTGCGTTCCTGTGTTGTTGTGCTGTACAAACAGCTGGTGTGTGTGTGTGTGTGTGTGTGTGTGTGTGTGTGAGTGACTCAGTCACGGGGCGCGCCTGGTTCCCTTTAAATGAAAAGGCCTCAGTCATTGTCTACAGGAGTGTCTGTCTGACGTCAGCTGGACATCTGCGTCACACTGAAACTGAAACACTGTCACTTCATTATTCTACTCAGTCCGATAGTTTAGGTTCACTCTAAAGCCCCGAATACTACGACATTCTCTACACCAGAGACTGTTCCCTATTTAACACATGAGAGGCGCTCTGACTGTGGTGGTGTCATCAGGTGTGTGTGTGTGAGGCTCTGACTGTGGTGGTGTCATCAGGTGTGTGTGTGAGGCTCTGACTGTGGTGGTGTCATCAGGTGTGTGTGTGAGGCTCTGACTGTGGTGGTGTCATCAGGTGTGTGTGTGAGGCTCTGACTGTGGTGGTGTCATCAGGTGTGTGTGTGAGGCTCTGACTGTGGTGGTGTCATCAGGTGTGTGTGTGTGAGGCTCTGACTGTGGTGGTGTCATCAGGTGTGTGTGTGAGGCTCTGACTGTGGTGGTGTCATCAGGTGTGTGTGTGAGGCTCTGACTGTGGTGGTGTCATCAGGTGTGTGTGTGAGGCTCTGACTGTGGTGGTGTCATCAGGTGTGTCTGAGGCTCTGACCTCTCGCTCTCATCCCAGCAGCCCTCTGGGATGGTGGGCAGCTCGGGGACGGTGCGGTAGCTGTGCAGGTTCTGGGCGGTCCGCCGTGACACGATCCACTGCAGCTTCCTGTGATTGGGTTTGCTGCATTCCGGCGAGGCGTAGTCCGACAGACACGGAGCCACGCGTTCGCTCCACAGCAGCAGCTCGCTGTCTGTAATCTGAAACCAAAGCACACAGATCCGTTTAGGGGACGCTGCATTCAACATAATCATATTACTTCAGGTCAGGAGGTAAAGAGATCTTCTATTTCAAGTTAAGAGAAACTTTCCAGGGTGAAGCAGAGTGGAGACACCGGTGCACCTTTAAAAGCCTCATCGAGACAAGACACAGAGCCCTGAATCATATGCGCCTCCACCCCCAATAAGATCACTCCTGTTGTGTGTTCACTCCCAGCCACAAACGCGTATGGAACCAATCCGCCTGCAGGTGGGTTCACTGAGTTGTTGTGTGACAATAAGAATGTCTGACTGAGCCGAAACCAGCCGTGGAATTTGAAACTTGCACTTCCTCATTGCTGTGTTTTGGGTTTGTCCATGACATTCATACCTGCCAACTCAAGGGTCATAAATGTCCTACGCATGAGGCCGGGACGCATTGGGTTCTGACGAACCCTCCGGCTCAATGACCACAGGCTTTTGATTGGGTTAGAATGTAGGTCAGAACCATCGGACCAACACGATGGATGGCAGCAAAACACACAGTAATAAAATGACGGTACCGGCGGTAACTTTAGAAAAGTTGGAGGTAAACGAAGGCGCTGATTGGCGAAGACTCGCCAAGTCACATGTCAAACATCACTGTTTCTCTCTCCCGTCTCAAACACAGTACGACATTGGTTTCCACAGGTGCTGCTCTCCCGCCCCGTGGTTGATGTGTCATAGGTGGGCTTTTACCTTCAGGTGACTCTGGATGTGCTGGGCTATCTCCAACATGTCCTCCGTCTGGACCGCTTTGATCTCCTGCCTCAGGAGAGACAGGGCGAGGACGGACGGCTGAGGGGACAAACAAAGGGAAAGAGATGAAAAGCGTTTCAGTGATATAAAAACTAGCCAAGCTAGTGTAATCCTGCGTGACCTCTGACCCCGTGATGGGCTTCCTACCTTTGCTTTTGAGAAGGAGATGCGACACAGGCAGGCTTTGAGTTGAGCTTCCAGCTTCTCCAGGCTCAGGATCTCCTTCCTGCTCAGACACACGGGCAGGTTTAAGGCAAACAGACATTTCTCTGCATCATAAACTAAAAGCTTGTGTTGCAGCACATGGACGAGAAGAATCCCCGGCGGCGGTCCCACCTGTCTGTGGAGTGTGACAGCGTGATCCGGTGGTACAGGTGCAGGAAGGTTAAGGCGGTGACGGCTTTGGAGTTGAAGTTGAGCTTCTCTCTGACGATCTTCTCCATGCGACAGAGGTCGGACGCGGTGAAGCGGCACTGTCCGATGCGGATGAGCTCGTCGGCGGGGACCAGGTCGCACTCCTCCTCCGTCACTTTGGCCGCCATGTGGAGGCAGCTGACGCCGACGCAGGACAGGTGCTTTGGCTGGGCCTGGTGGGTCGGGGGGGGGCAGCAGGTTGAGTGAAGAATGATGTCGCTGAGGCTTTACTTAGTAAGATCAGCAACTAAGCCATTTAAACAGCAGCATGATTCATTATTTGGTACCAGTAATAATGAGGCAAAATAATTGTTCATCTACTGCACACATGATTTAAAGCTGAATATTTAAGCAAATAAACTTGTCAACTGGCACATCAGCCGTGAGAACAGGACTGTGGATCAGCAGGTCCTGTGAGGTGCGAGCTGCTCGTACCTTGATCATGGCCAGGAATCTGTCCAGCAGGTTCACGGCCAGGACGAAGGTCTGCGTGCTGTAACCGAAGAAGCTGGTGAGACTCCACAGGTCCTCCACCACGGCGTTTCTGCCCTCGGCAGAGATCCGGCTGGCATCCTGACAGAGAAAGACGTGCGGTTGATGAACCTGCTTTTTTTGCCACATGCATGCATTTCAGTCTTGTAGGAGATAAGTCAAAAGATCATTTCGACCAGCCATTAGATTAGCAAGAGATACAGATCCACAATAAAGAGAGCTTCCCAATGTGTTTGGAGGATTTCCCAGGCGACCTCCCCTCCTGAACACCGTGGGATGGTCAAATAAATCATTGGATCAATGTGGGTTAATGGTCCATTCCTCCACCCCAAAAATGTGCTCACCTCTTTAGTGGATTCGATGAGCCTCAGGCCCGTCTCTCTGGGCCGATAATGGGCCTCCTGCTCAGAATTCACGCGCAGCTCCTTCATCAGCTTGTAGGCGTCCATCTCTGAGCAGAAACTGGAGGAAGTGATCTCTTGTTTTTCACTACAGTGTCTTGACTGCAAAAAAAAGAAGACAAGCGCACAAGTTCAGCTCCCAAATACTGGCACAGGTCTCTGACCGGTCCACACAAACAAGTGCTCCAAAGAAAATAAAGGTCTTCACTGCCACTCAAAGCAACGGAGCATCCTGTGCGCCTCTGACGCGATCTGTTGATGGTCGCCGGGCTCTGGGGGGCCTACGTGCGCTCTGTTGGGGGGGGGGGGGGGGGTCTCCCCTTCAAAACCCCTGATGCTGAACATGGAGGACAATTCTGACTTATGTCAAAACATCGGTGTCCCTCTCCAAGATGTCCGTATTTGTCTGACT